TTGCAGAAAAGCGTCCGTGCCAATCTAGACGCGGTTTTGCGCAAGAAAGCCCCGATTGCCATTTTTGCCATCAGGGCTTTTTTGCGCAAAACAGCCTTTAGATGTCTACACTGGCCCTCTTGTGCAAAAACGTTTCCGGAAAAGGGCTTTTGCCCGAATGGGAATGTCAAAGCATTGCACAAGAAGCACTGATTTCGGATAGTAGAATGTCAGAGCTTTTGCGCAAAATCAAGTGGCCAGTGTAGACAGCTGGCAAGTTTTTGTGCAAAAGCAATTGCTTTTGTGGAAAAACTTGCCAATCTAGATGCAGCCAATAAGTATACATATCCATATAATCGAACCACACCAAAAGATATACTGAATAAATGCCTGAAGGAATTATCATGTCTATGCACTTTAAGAAGAAATGAAGGGAGGAGAACAAAGTTCTCAGAAGGCTACAGATCAAGCTGCTCTTCTATGACAGGAAGGATGATCTAGTGGGTAGTGTCCTGGCCTGGGACTTGGATGATCAGAGTTCATTTCCTTGCTCTGTCACAATCTTCCTGTGTGATCCAGAGCAAGTCATTTAGGCTGTGTCTACACTGGCCACTTATTCCGGAAAAGCAGCCGCTTTTCCGGAATAACTTGCCTGCTGTCTACACTGGCCGCTTGCTTTTCCGGAAAAGCAATGACGATCTAATGTAAAATCGTCATTGTTTTTCCAGAAAAACGATGCTGCTCCCGTTTGGGCAAAAGTCCTTTTCCGGAAAAACTGTTCTGGAAAAGGGCCAGTGTAGACAGCACAGTAGTCTTTTCCGCAAAAAAGCCCCGATTGCGAAAATGACGATCGGGGCTTTTTTGTGGAAAAGCACGTCTACATTGGCCACGGACGCTTTTCCGGAAAAGAATCCTGCCAATGTAGATGCGCTTTTTCCGGAAATACTTATACCGGAAAACTGTTCCGTTTTAAGCATTTCTGGAAAAGGGTGCCAGTGTAGACGTAGCCCCAGTGTATGTGACTCAGTTTCCCCTCTGTGAAGTAGGGTTAGTACTTCCACACCTAAAAGCATTAAACCTGAGAACTGCTCAGACTGTACCTTATTATAAGCTATATGTGTACCATAGATAGACTAGTCAAGGCTTAACAGTATTTTGCTTGTTTCTCAGAGATGATGATTTTTCCTTCTGTTTCTTTTTTTAAAAATACATTTTCCAAATGGACAATCCCAACGGTAGCCAATTTAAGAAGAAAGAGCCATGCAAGTAGGTAGTTTAAATGTGACATGAATTTTATGCCAAAAAGAGTCTTTTCCACATTTATAAGCTCCCGTTGCCCCCACCCTCACCCCCTCCAAAGGAAACGCCATACAAAGGCAGGAAAGAACATCAAACAAATGTCGTTTGGCAGCCATGTCTATATGTAACATTTCTGTCAGAGTACAAAGGAAGACCCAAGATTTAGAAGGTGACACATGAGCGGTGCGCCTTTCTTCTACATGCCTTTACCTTTTGGAGAAGAACGTGCGTTTCCCTTAATAAATAAATATTTAAACTGCCCTTCATTTACATGTCAAAAGGCACAAATTAGGGCTTGATCCTGCCAACATTTTAATACAGGTCATTGTGCTTATTGCTCTTGTGGGTTGGGTCAACCCTCCTTGAAGCTGGGCATGTGTGTAACCGCTGCCCTTCCTTTAAGACGAGTGATAAAAAAACTCGTTATGCTTCTTTATGGCTGAGATGATAGAGGCCTTTGCCCCAGACTCAGGCACATGTGGGTTGAGGTGTTTCTCTGGCTGTTGCTGGGTGAATGTTGGGAGACGGGGGTGTGACAGAAACAGCGGAAGGGGCACAGAAGAGTTGTCAGAGGGTAGGTCTACACTGCAGTTAAAGACCTGTGGCTACTTTATGCCCGCTGACTCAAGACCACAGGACTTAGGTTGTGGGGCTATTTCATTGTTGTGTAGACATCTAGGCTTGGGCTAAAGACGGGTTCTAGGAGCCTGCAGAATAGGCCTGAGCTGCAACATCCACACTGGCCGGAGCCTGCAGGGAATTCCTGGAGACTCTTCCTGCCTCAGCGAAAGATTCCAGCAGTCTGGCAACTCCCTGCTGCCAAAGCCTGGCTTTGCTGCCTCCCTCTGCCCAGCACCTATAGCTACCCCCCCGCGGGGAGGATATAGCTTTTCACAGCCACCTATAGCTACACATACCCTGCGTGCTGCCAGCCATGAGCGTGCAGTACAGCTGTACCCTTTGTTCTTCTCACTTGTTTATACTGCACGTTCTTCAGGACCATCGCTACATGTTTGTGCAGTGCCTAGCATAATAGGGCACTGATCTCAGTGGGAAACACTTGACACGACTGTAACACAAATAATAACAACAACCGAGACCCTGCTCCTTCTCCCACTGTTAAGCTCCAAATGCTCCTTAATTTTACTGGTACGCTGCAGCAGGGTATTCCCAGCAGCTATCTGGGCAGGACCTACACCGGAGAATGATATATAATATTATTATTAATGTAATGGGCTGGGATTCTCGGCCTGTAGTATTTTTCCTCTGTGGCTGCTAAGGTTTTTCTAGATTGAGAGTCTTTCTCTCCTCATTCCTTGAAATAGCGTCTTGTTTATAATAATAAAGAATAAGACAAGTTATTTTTATTGACTCTGGCCTGAAAGCCCTTGCATGTCTCGCAATGATAATTAAAACCATAAAATACAATGTTTAAAAAGAGTAACGGCTCGCTTTTTCTGCTGACGGGGAGGTGGTTCTGCCAGAAAGCCTTTCCTCCTTTATTTTTAAGTGAGTTGATCATAACTTTCCAGGTGACATTTGTTGACCTCGGGCAAGATTTTCAGAAGCCTGGAGCAGCTCCTAAGGTAGACATTAATGAAGCCGCTTCCTTCCTCACCGAGAGCAGTGGTAGCTTCTGGATGCTGACAGCTTTTGAAAATCAGACCATTTCATTGTGACAAACCCTTTTGAAAATACAGGGCGCATGTGCATATGTGTGTGTAAAAAAAATTTAGCCTGTGGCTTCCTGTGCAGTCTGATACAAACATTTTCCTGAATGAGGTGCAAAAAATGGCTGGAAGCAAAGAAAGGGGAGAAAGATAAAACACTCTCTCACACACACAAGCTAAAGGGAGACAGTAGTGAGCAACATAAACAAAAGGTGGGTGGTAACCCCCCAAGCTTTTTTTTTTTTTTTTTTGACAGCCAGTGGTGGCAGTGATGAATTTGTGAAGTTATCTAATTTTCCACTGTTTTAATTAGAGGCCTGGGCTATGAGGCCTAACAGCTGGGTTCTTTGTACTGCTTTCTGTTGCCTGACAGAGAAAAATTTCTACTGTAACTTCAGCCAAGCTTTCAACCTGACCTGAGCAAATGAAACTTCTGGGATTCATAAACTTGTGGTTTGTAGGCAGATTGCTTTTTGAACTGTTCTTCAGCCATCCTAACATGCAAAAATTACTCTGGCTTCGAGTGAACTCCCTTTGTACTTATGTTTAATGGACATGCTCATTAAAGGAGTAGGACTGGGGGAGGAAGAAATTATCATGGGCTTATTATAGCACTTATCAAGTGTAAAGTTTCTGATTGTTGCTTATAATATAATTGAGGCCAGTTTGGAAATGACAGTACTCAAGATCTCCAAAGGCAATGGTTGCAAACTATGTTCACTTGAGAGCACTAATAATTTACACTGCTCTTACCAAAATGATCTTTTAAAGCTTTACATTAGACTGAAGATGCTTTGCTAGTTCTCTCCTCCAACTCCACAAGACATGTATGTACTGCTACAATCTTCTGTTGCTAGAACCTGGTAGGAAAAATTCCTTTGATAACTTTAGGTCCCAGTTCAACAAAATATTTAAAGCGTTTGCTGAGCTTTAAGCATATGCCTTTTTGCTTTGATGAATTGATATCTCAGTCACCAGGCCAGTAGTAAGGGCAGACACAGATAGGCATAAGGACTAGCTAGTATGGAAACAAGCATGGATATCTTTTAGGAAAGATGTGGGGAAATTGAAGAGGGTCCAGAGAAGAGCAACAAAAATTATTAAAGGTCAGGAAAACATGACCTATGAAGGAAGACTGAAGGAATTGGGTTTGTTTAGTTTGGAAAAGAGAAGACTGAGAAGGGACATAATAGTAACTTTTAAGTTAGGAGGAGGGAGAAAACTTGTTCATCTTGGCCTCTGAGGATAGAGCAAGAAGTAATGGGCTTAAACTGCAGCAAGGGAGGTTTAGGTTGGACATTAGGAAAAAGTTCCTGTCAGGGTGGTCAAACACTGGAATAAATTGCTGTGGAATCTCCACCACTGAAGATATTTAAGAGCAGGTTAGACAAACATCTAACAGAAATGAACTAGATGGTGCTTGGTCCTGGCATGAAAGCAGGAGACTAGATTTGGTGACCTCTTAAGGAGCCTTCCATTTCTATGGTTTAAGTGGGAGCAAAGGCATTCTGCTGAAACAACTAGCAGTAAGCACATTCCTAACTGGGTAGTGACTCTAAGCAAACTGAAGAGACAGGCTCGCTTAGGAATCTATATACTTGTCTTGGGGTCAGCTGGGTTGGCCCTTGCCTGTGGATTGGTTGAACCCTGAGTGAATGGGTGAGTAATTACTTCTGATGACTTATCACGCTCTCTGGCTGGGGGATGACTCATTAAGCTTGTGGAGTCTCTGACTCAGAAGTAACTCGAGCTTGGGCAAACACAGGTATCACAATGAGGACTCTGTTCTAATGGGGCTTCTTTTCTAACTGTGAAGTCTACTTTCAGCCTGCAGAAGCCTATGAAACTGGCTCACCTACTAATTAACTTGGCCAAGTCCCCCTGAAGCTTCACTGGGTTTGCTCCATAACTGGAGTCAAAAGGGGTTGTGAACATAATTGCAAGGATCTTCTCTAGCCCATGTGTTGCTTTAGCGAATTTCAAGAAACCTGAAATCACTTTAGTTATTAAATAAGAGATGCCTTTTTGTAGAGGCAATTCACTAATAGCAGAGCAATCTTTAAAAGTTGTGAAAGAAGAGTCCTTTCGGACATTTAAGCTAGGAATTATGCTTTTAATATCCATGTTTTTATATACCCAGTCTCTTAGCTGCCTTCACTGCTGTGTGTGACAGTCCAAACCTTCAAAGTCAAGTTTTTCTATTGCTGAAGAAAAGAGCAAGGCTCTGTAAGTATTCTTTACCTTTGTCTTTAGATGGATTAATCAGTGGTGGGAAACCTGTGGCCCCACAATATATTTTGTTTACCATTGCCTGTTTGCCATCTGTGCAGGGTTGCCAGATTCTGCTGGTTTTCGTCCACATAGTAGTTTTCCTACTGGTATTACAAAAGTTCTCTGCGTGTAACGCAGGGGCACATGAAGTGAGGTGCATATTGACTGTATACAACATTGTGAGAGCTATGTGCCCCCTCTGCATCCAATCAGTGCGCTGCTACAGTTCAATTGGCACCCACTGCAAATTCCAGGTACGCTAGTGCAGTTGGCAAAACTACCCTATCCAGGGAGAGCAAGGTTAGAACAATCTTGCAACCCACTGAGATGAAGAAAGGGCCATTCACGCGGCCCGTTTACTGAGCTAGGTTACCCCTCACTGGGTTAAGTTCTTCAAAGTTTGGGAGCATCACCTGGCTTGAATAGCTATTTTTATTCACTAATCACAAGGGAACACACATATTGCTCTGGGGGAACTCTTAAAGCTACATGATGGAGAATATCCTGTGCAATTTTTTTTCCTGGAGTTAAATGTAATTGCTGCACTGTATAAACTGAGTATTTATAGTCAGGCTCTCTCTATAGCTGTTTCAGTGCTAGCCTGCACGCCGGTTCAGATCCTGATCCAACATCTCACTTGAGCTTAGATGGCCTACATTCAAAATGTTACAAAAGCCAGCTATTCTGTGGGGAATCCTAGTTCTGTGTCGGGTCTTGGCAGCCTGTGACCGCTTCCCCCATTGATAATTTAGGTGCAAAAATCCAAAAATACTCAACAGTGGGGGAAATATGCTTACCCGCCATAGCAGGGAGGAGTTACTGCAGTGGGGAAATGAGAGAGTTAATACCACGTCAAGAGTAAAAAGAAAGTAGCAGGAAACTATGAACTAGAATTACTCTATCAACAAGCATTTGTTGTTCGTATTTTTCTTACGGTGGTTCTTGAGAAAAGAGGGTAGGGACAAAACCTCCTGTTTTCTTTTGTCCCAATTTCTTAAGAAATGTGGCATGATAATTGGACACCTTGCTTCCTTGAAAGGTTCATAGCGCCTCTTTTGCTTTGGACCAAGAAAAAAGGGATTTTGCTGACCCAACTCCTGAATGAGAAAGGCACCTCAGTTATGTGAAGCAAGCTATTAACCTAATTAAGATAAAATAAGATAAGTCTTCTTAATAGCTTCAGCTCAGGAACAACATAAGAACAACCCTACTAGATCAGACCAAAGGTCCATCTAGCCCAGTATCCTGTCTACTGACAGTGGCCAATGCCAGATGCCCCAGAGGGAGTAAACAGAACAGGTAATCCTCACATGATCCCTCTCCTATCATCCATTTTCAGACAGACAGAGAGGCTAGGGACACCATTCCTACCCATCCTGGCTAACAGCCATTGATAGACCTAACTTCCATAAATTTATCTAGCCCATTTTTGAACCCTGTTAAAGTCCTAGCCTTCACAGCATCCTCTGGCAAGGAGTTCCACAGGTTGACTGTGCACTGTGTGAAGAAAAGATAGCTCTCAATACCAGATTGTGACCTTTATGACTCAAAGCCTGGGCATTCTGTTATCAGAGACTATTTCTAGGAAAGTTCTGTAATGCAAGTAGTCAAAGGGCATATCCAAACTCCCAAGCTTTGTTTCCCTTGGGACAGTACTGAAGAAGTGTTGATTTCTCAAAGAAGGACCATGATAAGGTCGCTACTCTCTTCTCTAGTGTCTTCTCATTGTGAATCTTGAAGTACTTCACAAACTATGGTGAATGAAACCTAATGCCATACTGTTGAGTACTATGGTCCCCATTTTCTTCAGTGACAAAATGATGCCACAAAGAGGACATAATTTTTTTAGAGTTTGAGGTAAAAATGTCTGCTGTTATGATTGTGCATGCAGCTAACCTGTTAGATTTCTAACTAATCTGAGGTGTGTGTAATTATCATGGCTGCATGTGAAATCGAACCATTGTGTATAAAATATGCAAATGCAGGAGCAATTGCATAGCTTTTCAATATCATGCCTTTACATGACACATACAAAGCAACACACCAAGTCTGTAACATAGTCAAGAATAGAACCCTGGGATTGTCTCTTATCCACAATACCATCCTTCCCCCCCTTTAAGAATTAATCTGTGGAAATTCTGTAGAAGCTATAAAATTGAAAACCAGTGAAAAAGGTATCTACAAATATAATAGCAGTAAAATGGGCTGGAAAATTTCCAGTGCAAATGTTTTTCTATCAGAAAATGCTGATTTGACAAGAATCAAAACATTTTGTGGGAATGTATCAATTTTGCAGAATTTTTTTGGTGGGAAATTATCAAAGCACTTCATTCTGATCTGTATTTTTTAGTAGTTTATATATAACATATCTAAATGATAAATTCAGGATTTTGAGAACTTCTATATTTCAAAAAACAAAGTATTTCTAACTTTTCATTTTAATTTTATGGGAAATTTTGAAATGCCAACTTTTTGTTCAGCATGAATGGAAATTTCGAAACATCAGACGTTCCTATGGAACAGAAAGTTCATTTCCCAAGCGGTTCTAAATAATAACGTTAAGATGCATTCTTGGTTGAGATTGTGTTTAAAATGTGTCATCTCAGTTTGTAGGACTTATAGCCCTGAATAAATGCTCTCAGACCATCAGAGTCTACGGATGAAGTAAGAGCTGGATAGTGATTCAGAAGGGGGAGCCTATTGCCAAATTGGAAGCCCTGGGAAGGAGATGAGCATGTTAGCAGAGCAAAGCACATAAGCCAGTGAACTTTCTGTGTTTACAAGGAGTTGCTGAAAGAACACTGGTAATTGCAGTTATCAGAGTGAAGCAACGTTTTAATTATTTCAAATTTAGAGAGAGACAGATAGATCCCCAACTGGTGAAAGTCACTGTAGCTCCAAACCAATGGAGTTATGCCAATTTACGCTCGATGAGGATCTGGTTCATTATCTTCTTTCAAAGAATTAGCTAGTTTAAATAAAACAGAGGAGAGGAGCATAACAGCTAATTGTCAGAGCAGTGGGCTGTGCCCACGAAAGCTCATGATATCAGCTACATGTTTTGTTAGCCTATAAATAGTCTGTACAGGAAAAAACAACAAACTTGGCTACCCCCTGAAGCTTCTGAGAATTTATTGTAGCTAATGAAGCAGTAGAACCAGGCATATACTCATTGCATTGGAAATTAGAGAAAACAGGTGAATAATAAAGTCAGTAGGACTAAGTAAAAAGTACCTTCCCTCTCACTTTGTGTGAATACTTTCTGATCTACTGAGGAGAGGAGGGGAAAG